AGAAACTGGGAGAAGAAGAACTTGTTGGCAGAACAGCAGCAAAGAAACCATTACTGAAAGAGAAAACTAGAGTGAAATGCTTGAAATTTGCAAAAGAACACAAGAAATGGACAAAGGAACATTGGTATAAAGTGTTGTGGACTGATGAATCCAAGAGTCCAACAGTTTGACAACAATCGAAGAGTGAATATTTGATGGAGAGAGTGGGAGAGATATAAAAATGAGTGTCACTTGCCAACAGTTAAACACAGAGTGGGAAGTATTATGGTGTCGGGTGTCATTTCAGCCTCAGGAACGGGTGACTTAAGAGAAAATTGATGGCATCATGGATAAGAAAGTATACCACAAAATTTTGGTGAGGCACGGAGTACCATCTGGGAGTCGTTTTATTGGGCCTGGATTTATTTTCACCATGACCATGACAAACATTCTTCTAACTATTGCCAGAACTACCTGCGACGGAGGGAATCTGCTGGAACATTGAAATGATGGACTGGCCCCCTCAAAGTCCACACCTCAACCCCATCAAGCAAATATGGGGTGAGTTGGAAAATAAACTAGACAGATCTATTATACATTCAAAGGAAAGCCTTTGGCTTGAGTTGCAGAAGGCATGGGATAACATTAGTGTTGAAGTTCTCAGAAAATATATTGACACTATGCCAGAGAGGTGCGCTGCTGTAATTGCTGCAAAAGGTGGACATACCAAATATTAAAGTTAAAAGTGGACAGTACGACTCACTTCATCTGATATTTGTTGTGCTCAGAGCAATCATCAGCATGTTTCATGAACATTATGAAATGAAATCATGTTTTGGAGGCAAAAAAACTATCAATATTTTCCAGATCTGTCAGCTGTATTTGTACAGTGTTGAAGTTCTCAGAAAATATATTGACACTATGCCAGAGAGGTGCGCTGCTGTAATTGCTGCAAAAGGTGGACATACCAAATATTAAAGTTAAAAGTGGACAGTACGACTCACTTCATCTGATATTTGTTGTGCTCAGAGCAATCATCAGCATGTTTCATGAACATTATGAAATGAAATCATGTTTTTGGAGGCAAAAAAACTATCAATATTTTCCAGATCTGTCAGCTGTATTATCTGTATATTATTATTGTTTTATCATTTACCTGCCTTTTCCAGGCCTAGAAATCAATTTTAAAATGAGGCTTCCTCATATATCTAGATTTTTCAAGACCATAAGAATTGAACTGGTTTTTCAAAGAAAAAAGAAAATGGTTTGAAAGGTCAGTTAAAATAAGAAGATATTTAATTTGGTGTTGTTGGGCTTATTTTAATGCTTGTTTGCTCTTACTTTAAAGCATTTAAGTCATTTTGAGGCCCCCCTGGACTCACTGATCAAGGTTAATGTTAAAGGGGTCATATGATGCTTTTTTAAAGATCATTATTTTGTGTATTTGGTGTAACAGAATATGTTGACATGCTTTAATGTTCAAAAAACACATTATTTTTCAAATACTGTACATTATTGTAGGTCCTCTATGCCCCGCCTCTCTCAAACGCTTCGTTTTCTACAAAGTCCCTCCTTCCGACAAGCGCAGCACACACACACACACACGATGCGCAAAACTCCGCATTTGAACAGTCGATAGCAAATACTTAAACTAACAACAAATCAGTAGCTGATTCAGAAGCGCTAGATTGTCATAGCAAAGTCAGAATTACCTCCTCTCCTAGGTTCATGAAACGGTCGTCCATAAAATGCATTGCTGTTCTGTTGTAAGTGATCTTAAAGATTTCTAAAAGCATCTACTTTTGGAAGGCCAAATAAAGTGCTTTTGCTTTCGCCTAGAAACACACAGGCGTCTCCCTGACATGGCTGCTTCAACACTAACTGTGGTTACTGAAACCACGCCTTCTTTCTTTGCGTGAACATTTGGGCGGTATTATGCTAATATTTCCACATAGTGAGGTAGATATGTGGGGGCGTGTTAGAACGAGGCGTTTTAGGGGGGTGTGGCAGTCTTAACTTTGATAAAGAATATCTCTTTGGTTTTGAGACTTTAGTCTTTGCAACTTCAGGGATCTTATCTATGCACAATCAGCTTGTAACTCTCCAAAGAGAAAGGAAAACTTGAAATCGCATCATATGACCCCTTTAAATGTATAAAGACTGATATTTATATAAGTAGTCCATTGTTAGTTCATGGCATCTAAGTCAATAACTTAAACCTAGAATGTTTCTTTAAGCTCACCTTGTCATTGTCTCAGTGGGGAAAAATTGCAGCTCATTGTTATCCAGGCTCAAACGTGTAAGAGTGAAGAGGCCAGCAAATGCTTCTGTTGCCAGATAATTGAGAGAATTGTGACTGAGACGTAGCCATTTGATGTTCTGCAAACCCTGAAATGCCATGTTAGGTATGTACACCAATTGGTTGCGTGTGAGTGAGAGGAGGTTGAGAAGGCCAAGCTGTGAAAAAGCTCCAGGCTGGATCTCCTCCACTCTGTTTCGGTCAATAATTAGCTGCTTCAGCGATGAAAGCCCATCAAATGACTCCTAGTGTGTTAGGAGAGGAAATTATGAGATGCATGCAAAGATTGTCCAGAATTACAATTATAAAGACCAATCCATTGTGTCTTGCTTGCGTTACCTGGTACAGGATCTCAATCTTGTTGTTGGCCAGGTTGAGTAAGACCAGTCGGCCAAGTCTGCGGAAAGCCCCTTCCCGCACCCTTCGGATGTTGCTGTTCTGCAGCGACAGGTGGGTGAGGTAAGGGGTGTGTGTGAACGCCCCTGTAGGAAGCTCCTGCATGTCATTTCCTCTCAGGTCGAGTTTCACTGTTATCTTGAAGATATACAGAGGGCAGCATAAAAGCAATGCAAATATTACATAATTTTATAGAAATTCAGTAAAAATAAGGCCATAGTGATCAGGGTGGTGCACAGATTACCTCATCAATGGTAGGCGGCACCTCAGTGAGATTCTTGTTGACACAAGCAACCGTGAGCTGGATGTTGTCACAGATGCAGAACTTTGGGCATTTGCCCGACTGCACAGTATGGAACTTCAGGGCAAGTAACATTATAACCGACAACGTGGGAAGGCTAAACATTTTGGTCTTTCTGTGTAAAACAAAATGTATAACACCAAGTAACAACTTCATTTACCTTATTCAGGTTACTTTGTAAGGTGAAAAAATCAGCAAGCTTAATTAAAACTATGCCAGTTTAGTTTGCCATCGTGGCATGATTTGAGGATTTAGAGTGTTGAGCTCTGCTGGTATGTTTGAACTGGCTGGATTGAAGGCATTCACAATTTATGGTTGAATGCAACTGCTTCACTCTCTCAAAACTGAATGTCAAAACAGGCACTTCAGGAGCAGACTCCAATGTGAAATCTGACAATTAAATCCTCTTATAATAGCCATATTTCTACATTTATTCATCCAAACTAAAAAAAACGTGTAAACAAGTTATGACAATAACACTGTGATACAGTACAAGTGTCAGCTTTATAATAAAGATAGATCTAACCAAATAGGTGAGCTGTGGAAAAGGGTATTTTGGAAAGGGTAAGTTGTTTAAAATGTTATGAATTCGATTAAATCAATTATTGATCAGACTCGTTCCCCAGAACAATGTTCTGGCATTTATGTAAAGTCTGCTTCTTCAATAATGGCTTTGTTTTGTTTTTTACATGTAGGTGAAAACCTTTTAATACAGTTTGATGGCAGATTCTCAGTGTGACTGTATAGATTCCCTGCTGTTGAGCATGAAGTTTATTTTATAACTTAGACTCAGCATTCGAAGCCACAACTCATTTACAATATTTTAAATTTTTAAAGTAATAAAACATTCAATAACTTACTCCAAAAACGCAATAAGAATCTTCAAATGTTCCTTACCTTATCTGTAGGGACTCTCTCACGGTCTTCACAAACAAAAACACGCTCCGTCATAAACAAAATACTTACAAAATAAAATTTCGAACAAATGCGGAGAATATCGTTACATAAAAAGAGTTTTAAAACTCTACTTCTTACGGAGCAGCGAAACCGAAGCAGCCGAAAAAATGATTTTCCAACTGCGAAATATGTTGGTTGAGTCCCATGAGACTTCAGACCACGGCTCTGCAGCACACAAAGACGCGCACTGTTCGTAGTCTCTCATAAATACACCACCGGAGGAGAGAAGGCTCCCTCCAAGTGGTTCAACACCTATATTCTTTTCAGAGTCAAGACACTGAGAAAATCGCCCGACAGGCTTGCTGGACCGCTCAAGGCTCAGTGAACTTGGGGCATTTGTGTCACTCAGGCGTTTGGTGAAAGCGCATTGGAGTGAGAGCTGAACTACAGGACTTTATAACTGCATGCAACGGCTTTACATTTGAAAATGGTGAATATTACACAAACACAGACAACACGATTTTTCTCCCAAGAAAAGAAAACGGTTTAATATCAACAAAATGGAATGTTGCAAATATGACAATATTCAGTGCATACCAGTTCTAGTATTAAATATACTAATGTCCAAAAAAAAAATTTCCACTTCACTTTCACTGCCTTCTTCATTTCAATCCAAAGACTTTAAGATGTTTATACTACTTGATTTTGGTTTTAATTGCACCACCAGTATCTCACAATATGGCACATCTAATAAAAGGCATGAGAGAGTGAACATGCCAATGTGACAGTTTAAGTATTGACAATTGTTCAGAAATATCAGTTATAACATTACAATCATTTAAGGTTTAAGCGATAATTAAGTCCTAATTATCATCCAGTGCCTTTTCCCCCCCATTTCCCCTTTCCATGTATAAAAATAGAAGCAATATTTCTAAAAAGAGATGAAAGAACACAACACTCTTATTCAAAGCTAACTGTCTACAGTTGATCTGTAAGGAAATTCAGTTAATTGTCATGAGGCACTAGTCATCACTGTACTTTGCCAACCTTTGCAGTCTGAGATCTGCATGACTGAACTTAGATAAACTAGATCAATAGTTTAATGTATCCTGTCAAGGTTTTTTTTTTACCCGTAGTAAGTAATTTCAGTGGCTCTATAATGGGGTTTAAGAATTAAGCAGTGGTCCTTTTCATCAACGTGGTCTTGAGAGCATCTCTGGCATTGCAGCAGGATTCTAAGACTTTGCCATTTCTGGAAAACAAACAAATACATATATGTAATGTCTTAAGATCATTATAGTACACAGAAAAAAGGTACAAAACTGTCACTAGGGTGGTAACCTTTTCCAAAGGTACTGTACTGATATGTACCATTTTAAGTACTAACATTTACCATTTAGGGGTAAAAGAGGTACAAAGATGTATCTTTTAGCTATTGTACCTTAAAGGGGTCCTATTATGCTTTTTCACTTTTTTAATTTTAGTCAGTGTGTAGTGTGTATGTTTTGGCATAAAGATGATCTAGAAGTTACAAATCTCAAAGTCCACTCCAAAGGGAGATATTTCATTTTTTTAATAATCCCTTTTCAAGAACTACAAAGAACGGCTCGTTTGGACTACAGCGTTTGTTTTCCGGGCTTTGTGATATCACAAAGCGGCTCATTGGAATATCATTACAAATAATTCCCGCCTACAGAAATTCTAATGGTTGGGGGGTGGGGAGGGGCGAGGTCGTGGTTAGAACGCTTGTGGGCTTCCGAAAGCGGATGATGTCAGGAAACAGTGGTTGCAATTTATTTTTTAACTCTGTTCTTGAGCATTATAACCACAATTTGCTATTGTGTGCTGCGCATTTTACTGAGGACAGCTTCCACAACACAAGGGAGTACAGTGCCAGATTCACCCAAAAGTTTTTGTTGAAAGACTGAGCAAGGGGGCGTGGCAGTAATGAAACACTGTCTAAGCTGTTCGCCAATCACAACACACTGGGACAGCTAACCAATCACAACACATTTTGTTTTTCGGAAGGCGGACCTTCATCAAAGCCAGAACTAATCGAGCCGTTTGTGCCAGGCTGGGGAGAAAGGTATTTTAATAATGTAAATTATGTGAAAAATAATGCGTTTTTCAAACCACCAAGCATGAGAGCATGTTCTAGTACACCCCCAAAACAAAATCAAGACTTTGTAAAAGAGCATAAAAGGACCCCTTTAAGGTAATACCCTAAAGTAGCAGTGATACTGTAGCTTTCTACCTTTTATTTTGAGTGCATAGGTGGTCAGGAAAATGCAATAAAACTAGATATACATTATATTTTGAACACAAACTAACCGTGACACAAATTCTTGCAGAACTCCAGCCTGATCTTCAGGGAAAAACTCTTGTGCAGCTGCACGCTCCAAAGCAAGTAAGTGTCCAGGCAGTACAGCTACCTTCTTTATCTTCTTATCTTCACTCTGGAAAAGCAAGCAGCAGTAATAAACAACACTGACAAAACGGGGGGAAATGAAAGACAAACTGAACTGAGCATCACATCGAGTATAGTACCTTTAAAAGTCCCAGGTTCACTATCAGTGAGGAGATAAAACTATAAGATTGAGAGTAGGAGTTGGAAAAGACTTTCTTCAACAGGGCATCTGGCCAAGAAGATGAACAGCTGATTAGTCACACAGGTTTGGAACAACATGAGGGTGAGTAAGTGGAGACAGAATTTTCATTTTGGGGTGAACTGCCCCTTTAAATGTTTAATTGTATGATATTAAGTCATACCAGTGCTCTCAAATATAGCTTGCTTTACTTCTGGTTCGTCTTTGTATACTGATGAAATCTTGAGAAAAACATCTGACACCTTACTAGCATCGGAGACGTCAACCTAAAAAAAAAAAAAAAAAAAGAGGCAATGATTTCATTGGGTTGGAGAACAAGTTAAACCATCCTGATGTCCAGCTGAACCTTATGAATCAACAATGTACCTGCTGCTCAATGAGCTGGATCCTTCTGGCTCCAAGGGAGATCAGTTTCTCAGCTGATGGGGAGATGAGGAAGGACGTGAGCTCAGAACCACAGTGAGGATCCTCCTGTGGCGAGAGGACAATGCAGGTAAACTCCAAATTGTTCATTTGATGTAAAAATAGAAACACATCAGGTTTAGCAGTCCATTCAGGCATGCAGATGTTTGCTAGGATCACCTTTTCTTCAATGACATATTTTGCTCCATTGACACCATTTTCCTCTGTATCCTCTTCATCTTCATCTTCCTCCTCCTCCTCCTCATCATCATCATCAGGCTCTCCTTCATCATCACTGCATTAAGCACATCTTTCATTAGTCTAATTGTAAAAGTATTTCAAATACAGGAAAATATGAATTTGCCTTCAATTTATTTATACAAGAAACAACCAATACAACCCAGATAAATACCTGAGCGAGCCCAGCAGATCTTCCATGTTCACGCTCTCCATCACTTCCTTGAGAGCCTCACAGCCTTCCTCTCCAAAGCAATTTCCTAAACATGCAACCAGAAAAGATTACAACAGAATAACAACTTTGACACCAAACTTAATTCAACAGAACAGAGACACTTCAGTGTGTGCATAATTATTAGGCAAGTTGATTTGAGGAATGGCAGCGGATCCCCAAATCCAGGTGTGAAAAACTTGTTGCCTCTTTCCCAAAAAGACTCATGGCTGTATTAGATCAAAAGGGTGCTTCTACTAAATACTGAGCAAAGGGTCTGAATATTTAGGACCATGTGATATTTCAGTTTTTCTTTTTTAATAAATCTGCAAAAATGTCAACAATTCTGTGTTTTTCTGTCAATATGGGGTGCTGTGTGTACATTAATGAGGAAAAAAAATAAACTTAAATGATTTTAGCAAATGGCTGCAATATAACAAAGAGTTAAACATTTAAGGGGGTCTGAATACTTTCCGTACCCACTGTAATTGTCCATGAAGGCTGGAAGTGAAAAACTCCTTATATTCTGGTGTGCAGAATTATTAGGCAGGTTTTCTTTTACATATAAAATGAACCAAAAAAGAGACAAGAGGTAAAGAGAGGTAAAAAAAAAGATATAAATACTGTTCAGTTTCTGGCACAGACCGATCGTTTCATGTCTTTACACATCAATGTATCGTCACGAGCCGCAGGGTTTAATTTGGTTTTGTTTGTGTATGTTTGTTTTGACTCAAAGCCGTGATTCCCATTCACTTCCATTATAAGACTGACAGACTGCAACGGTTTGAGTTAAAAATCTTCGTTTGTGTTCTACTGAAGAAACAGTCACCTACATCTTGGATGCCCTGGGGGTAAGCAGATAAACATCAAATTTTCATTTTTGGGTGAACTATCCCTTTAATTCTTTTGCAGTTAACATGTGTCTCTCTTCACCTGTTTTTTCTGACCTTGCTGACTCAATAAGCATTTCACTGTCCAATGGTCATGCCTTAACTTTGCAAATTCTAGTATTGCATCCTTCTCATTTAATAATTTTTGACTTAAAGGTCTGAGTTAAATCTTTTTTTTTTGGGCTCATTTTATCTGTAAAAGAAAACCTGCCTAATAATTATGTACACCTGAATTATGTACACCTTCCAGGCTTCATGGACAATTATACATCACTTATAAATGATTAAATATAAAATGAATAGTAGTTATTAAGATTGATGTGGTTTGGAATTGCTAAAATGTGTGAAAAAAAATATGATCAGAATATCAACTTGCCTAATAATTATGCATGCACTGTATTTTAAAAAAGATGTCACACAGCTTTTAGGAGGTGGTCTAAGGTTGGTGGCGATGGAACTGTGGCGGAAGTCTACCTCCGGTCCACACTTGTTCAGAAAGATATGCATGTGAATTAGTAAATATTAAATAATGTTAATAAAGTGTAGGGCTGCAAAACAATTAATCACATTCAAAATAATATGTTTACATATTATTTGTGTGTGTACTGTGTATATTCATTATGTATATATATATATAAATAAAAAATACACACACATACATATATACATTAAAGATAAAAATATGTCAGATTTATATATAAAATATATCAAAGCTACCAATTTCTGTTAATAAAAAAGTTTGAAAGCAAGCAGCTTGTCATAATTATGACAGAAATACCTAAAACCTTATGTGGGGAGCCTTTAAATATTGTGACAGACAACACGTTGAAAAAAAATAAATATTAAATCACTGGCCTAACGCATTTAAGATTCCTGATCATATTTGCAGAATGTTTCAGTACAGTATAATTCATAAAGGAGGCTTTTTTTTTAAGACAGGGCACCAGTAGTGGATCAGGGAGAGCATACTTGTGTAGTAATAAAATGCTGTGACAACAAAATGTTATTATTTTACCATTCAGGTCCAGTTTCTCCAGATCAGCTTTGCCCCGAACAGCCTTTGCAACTACCACAGCTGCAGCCTCACAGATCTCTCCAAATGACAAATTCAGCTCCTAAACAAAACAAATATTTTAGAATGCCCACAGTATCAACAAACACTGAATGGAAGCGTTTGTGTGTGTCAGCTAGATTCAATGCTGGTATCATGCACCAACTAACCCTGAGGAATGGCAGTCCCTCTCTAAGGGCCCCTGCTAAAGCAATCGCACCTTCTGAGCGAACCAAGCAGTCCCCAAAATTGATGACTTTAAGACACTGGAGGTGCCTAATAGCCTAAACATGGATGAAATCACACAGACAGCCATTAATAAACATCTCTTCTAACCATATAAAGTCATGATACAGAGTTGCTCAACATACCTCCGCCATGGCTATCGATCCTCTCTTAGTAAAAGTGTTGTCGTTGAGGTTGAGAAGCTGAAGGTTTGGATTGTGCTTTAAGGCAGTGGCTAAAGCAGAGATACCAGGATGGTTGATTCCATTCTGTGGCATATGGACCTCCTCAAGACTGCCTAACAACTGTTTAAAAAAATAAAAAATACGAACAGAGAGTCAAACAAAGCGAAATACACAGTAGAAATATTTACATTTTATGGCAGTGGAATATATAAGTAGTCACCAAGAAAGTTTAAAAGAGCAACATTTATTGGAAATAGAAGTCACTTTTGATCAATGTAAAACATCTATGCTAAATAAAAGTATTAATTTAAAAAAAGGTACTGACCCTAAACTTTTAAACAATAGTGTAAATATATATTTTTATAAAACATTATGCCTTAGTACCTTAAATGCTTTGGCAAGTGCAGTAGCACCATCATTCTCCAGCCGATTACGTCCAGCTATGAAGACTTTTAACCTCAGGGGGGAGCCAGCTGCTCTAGACTGCTTGTGAGATTCAGTCAAAGCAGAAGCAAGGATCTATAAAAAAGAAAATAATAATAAAATAAAGAAATAAAACTACATATTCCATCTGTTTCATGAGCTCCAAAAATATTAACACGTTTAAAACTGTTTTAAAGCTTTTAAACATCTGAAATCATAACCACTCAAATTATGATGCCTTTTTTTAAACCGGTTACATCGAGCTGACCTAAACTTACCATACCCCCTCCAATGCCCATGCCACAATTCTTAAGCCTGAGCTCACGTAAGGTGTAGCATGCAGAGCTCTTCAGAAGGCTTTCAATTCCCTTTACACCATCAGGGCCGAAGGCATTGTCGCTCAAGTCCAGATGAGTCAGTCTGGCCCCCGATGTCATCAAAGCATTGCCCAATGATCTCTAGAAAATTTGAATAAAATGTTAGAAATACAATAAGCTTTTTACTCACAGCAAATACATTTAACTGAGCTTTTTGAGATGGGTATTGTTTTACCAGAGCAGGTGGAATTTCAGAACGAAGGCGACCAAGCATCCTTGTAAATCCATCTGCTGCCGAAATGACCTGAGACTTCGACGACCTCATCCAGGGGGCTGTTATGATACTAAGGTACAGAAATAGGTCATTTTGGTTGATGTGTTATTATTACATAAAAACTAGTAAAGATACAGTGTGATTCTAATGGAGGCTGCATGCACTTAGGTTACAGATTATCACATGGCCCAGATGTTTTCGGCTGAAGCTGTGAATGGACCCACTACTCAGAATGGTCTTCCCCTTTTCTCTTGGAGGCGTTTTAATCGGACAGCTCATCATGGGCTCCCTCAGACGTACAACTTTACATTCATCAGCATGCAGCCTTTACTCTTTGATTCCAGAGATCAAGCCAAGACTGATAGTAGTTTTGTACAGTGTATGAACAGCAGTCTAGAGGATACAGATGCAAGACTTGGAAAGGATTTAATCGACATTGCCCAAAGTATTGGGACACACCCCCTTCTAATGAACAGGTTTGACTACTTTAGTAATTTCCACGAGTAATGTTTAAGCATATAATGATATTCTAGGGAATTGTGTGCTTCTAATTTTATACCAATAGTTTGAACAGGACCCTTTTCTATTCTAACACAACAATGCCTCTGTGTATAAGGCAGGTAAAAAAAAGAAAAAAAAGAAAAAAGGATTGATTCCGGTCAGTGTGGAAGATCTTGACTGGTCTGCAGAAAGCAAAGTCCTAATCCCATCTGAACACCTCTGGTGTGACTTTAAATGCAGACCTTGAGCCAAAAACGAATCACCAAACACCAATGACTTGTACATATGCGTACAATCATTTTAGTCACTTCTAAAATTGTGGCAGCAAAGATGGAAATGTGTTAGAATAGAAAAGGGTCCTGTTCAAACTATTGCTATAAAATTAGAAGCACACGATTCCCTAGAATATCATTATATGCTTAAACATTAAAATTTGTACTCATGGAAATTACTAAAGAAGTCAAATCTGTTTATTAGAAGGGGATGTCCCAATACTTTTGGCAATATAGTGTACAAGCCAACCTAGCTATTCAAAATCTTTGTCTGCAATTTAATAATATTGACCTATTACTTTTGCTATTGCTTTTGACCATTATGCATCAGTAACATAATTCATTCATTATGGGCATAGACTTTCTGTACCACACTATTCTGCTGAGATGGAATGAGTTTGACTACTTAATCAGTTATATTAATAGAAACGCTTCACTGGGGCAAACAAAAAAATCCTAAAATAATATATAGGATACCCCATAGCAGCATTTCCAGCAGTATCCATGTATTCCAGCTGTATTCCTTGTTTGCTAGCTACCTATGCACATACAGCATACAATGTTAAAATGTTCTACATTATGAACCTTAACCCAAAAACCTTTAGCTTCATACACTGTAGATAATTGTGACCCTGCCTGTGGAAACCCAGCTAAAGTATTTTTTTAAACAGTGGATGAGTAATTCACTCCTTGATTTGCTAAATAAAAGCCTCCTTTGAGATCGTTTTGACAGACATGTTTATTGTGTATTATTTAAACGTGTTTATTGCTAACTTTAGTGTGGCAAAATAGAAGCGCAGCCGAAGCATTAACACGTTAGACTGCACCCCATAAACACAATCAAGACTAGAAAAAAAACAGTGAACCACTGTGTACAACCTGACAATCCTTTTATCAGAATAATTTGAGAATGTACCAAAGAGCAAGTCGATTAATGCCTTAGACATAGAGCAGAATCTTAAATATTCATTGCTGTTAATACATAAATACATCCAGCATCCTATAATCTGCGCAGGTTTCTGCGTCAAAAGAGCATCTACGGGCGAGTGGGCGGGGCTAACACGTCGCAGGATACGAGCCAATCAACTGCCGCAATGTATTCCACTTTTATGATACGAACGAAACCGGTCCGGCAGCACACCGCTTCACCGCGGGAGCCAGAACGGCGTCAGAACAGCACCCGAGCCGCACCGAGAGCCCGCTTACATACCGCCCGCCAGCCTCAGTGTAGTTCCCTAATGGCAACGGAGGACAAAGGAAAAACGGCGGCGCCTCAGGCTTTACCGGAAACGGGATCCCTCTCAGCAACGCACAGCAATCTGAACAATAATAACAACAACAATAATAACAATAAAGACAACGAGGGAAGCGAAGGAGCCACAACAGCCACATCTACTGCTGTTGAATCCGGCGGGGCTGAAAATATCATAAGAAACGGTTCAGCTGTTAATAGTGCCGGGGGCAATAACGGCAAATGGGTCCGTCTCAACGTCGGGGGGACGGTGTTTCTAACGACACGACAAACGCTGCTAAAGGAGCAGACTTCATTTCTGTACCGACTGTGTCAGCAGCAGGACTTACATTCTGACACGGTAAGACAGCAGTGAGTGATGTTAATGTTAGACTGTGTATTAATGATGCAGCGGGGGTCTTCAGTCAGATGGATGCACAATAATGCGGACCCCCAGTGTTTGTGCAGTTGAGGTGCGTCGCAGTTATTAGCTAGAAATATCCATATTTTACTCCACGATACCTTCATCAGATAATGTGGCCCACCTGATGCCGAAATTGTACAGAGGGAAGTTCTTGGATAATCAGCACACCCTTACTGGGTTGAATCTCATGAAATTATATTTTACATTTAGATAATTTAGATAATAACTATTTAGATATAACTACATGTAGATAACTATTATTATTACTGACAACTTGTTTAATATTTAAATATTTAATAATAATGATGAAAACATAATGTTTGACTTTTTAAATTGGTAACTTTTTAATTTTATGAATACAATGTTTTTATCAGAATATTTTAAAGGTAATTATTTAATCATAATTAAAATGGCAAAATTAACATTCTGTCATTATTTTCTCATCCTCGTGTCATTCCAAACCTGTATGCATTTCTTTCTTCTGTGGAGCAGAAAAGAAGATTTGTGACCCTGGACCACAAAACCAGTCATAAGTCGCTGGGGTATATTTGTCGCAATAGCCAATAATAGACTGTATGGGTCAAAATGATCGATTTTTGAATGCCAGATATTATTAGGACATTAAGTAAAGATCATGTTCCATGAAGATATTTTGTAAATTTCCTACCGTAAATATATAAAAACGTAATTTTTGATTAGTAATATGCATTGTTAAGGACTTCATTTAGATTTTTTTGCACCAGATTCCAGATATTCAAATAGTTGTATCTCTTCTCGGCCAAATGTTGTCCTAACAAAACACACCAAGGGAATATATGATATCTCAATTTAAAAAAAAATCGACCCTTGTGACTGGTTTTGTGGTCCAGGGTCACCTATTTTAAAGAATGTTGGAGACCAAACAACATTGGAGCCCTTTGACGTCCATTGTATGTATAGACACTTAAACATTTCCTCAAATATCCTCCTCATATATTTTTTATGTTCCACAGAAGAAAGTAAGTCATATATGTTTGGAACAAGATGAGGGTGAGTAAATAATGACAGATTTTTTATTTTTGGGTGGAGTATCTCTTTAATGTTAGGATACTTAACTTGTTGTTAAATAACCAAAGTGAAATGAGGCCTACGATAATCCAAATAGACCTTTTTTGTAATCAGGCTCTCAAAAAGTATATAACAATTTGGATATAGATTTATCGGCCAACATATCGGTTATCGGCTTTCAAAAATAAAGAATAATCGGTTATCGGTATCGGCCAAAATTTTCATATCGGTGCATCCCTATAAAGCATCCATATCTTATAGAACTGATCTGTCAGAATGTAGCGCACATGCCAGAAATTCCAGTGGGACCAAAGCAAATATCATCATACGCCAACTCTTCTGTGAAGGGGGTCTTATCACTGACCCACTGCAATAAAAATTTTTCTTCTGGCAGCAAAGGTTCATATATTATGTAATTTCCTGTTGGCAGATGACGTCTTTGTGTGTCTGCTCGGAAGGCCCAAATCGAATGAACCTGGATGTAATTCTAATTGGATGCCAAATATAAATTTTCAATATTTCCAATACCTACAACCTGCAATAAGGTACCTATTTCTGTTTTACATTTTTCAAAATCACCTTTGTGATTTTGGGGTGAAATGTTGTGAGCTTTACGCATATATAGTAAGTTATTTTTAGCTCCCATTTACTCTTTTATTCTTACAAAACTAAGGCATACAAAAAGTATTTGACTTAACAGATGGTACTCTGCCTTCACAGTATCCACCCCCTCCCAAGCTATCCTCTTATATTCCCTCTGATTCCACAATCAAAGTACCTCCATCCCCACAGTAAGTGATGAGGCACAGGCGGTCTCCCATCACAGCTCAGTTATTACTGGCCGCTGTGGTGTTTTGTGCTCTCTCACTGCTCATGTCACTCTTCTAATGAGATTAGAGTCATGGCACCTTGAAGACTCCCAGCCCTCTGCACAAAAATATCTATGGAGGCTTCTCTGTTCTATTCCTGGCCTGGTCTGTTCTTCGCTGATAGTTTACATGCATTTAAAGAGTTTAAGTTTATAGAACCATTGTGTTGAGCCAGAAAATTGTTTGCAACTGAGAAATTCTAACTGGAAAGTCTGTCATGATTTTTCTCACCCTCATGTCGTTCCAAAACAGTATGACTTAGTTTTTTCTGTAGAACATAAAGATATTTTGAAGAATGTTGGTAACCAAACAGTTTTGACTTAAATCGTTTTTGTGTGTGTGTGTGTGTGTGTTTTTTTGTATATACAATGGAAGTCAGTGGGAAAGAAACTGTTTGGTTACTAGCATTCTTCAAAATATCTTTTTTTATGTTCTACAGAAGAAAGAAAGTCTCATGATTCTGGAATGAAATTAGGGTGAGTAAATGATGACCAATTTTTCATTTCTGGGTGGACTACCCCTTTAAAGGGGGCATATGATGTTGCTAAAAAGAACATTATTTTGTGTATTTGGTGTAAAGAAAATATGTTTATGCGGTTTAAGGTTCAAAAAACACATTCTTTTCCACATACTGTACATTATTGTTTCTCCTCTAT